GCTCTTCAAAGCCTTTTAGAAAATTACCTGTGCACAAGCATAGTAAGAACCTGAGTTGGGCATAGCCTTAAGGCAGAACTGCACCACCAGAAGATATCAAATAATTTTAATTTCTGGAGCCATCAGAACACCCTCTGCTGAGTAAGAACAAAGTATCTCTTTAAACAGAAAACCCAGAACTGCTGCATGAGACTGATTAAACAAAAATGGCTGAAAATAAACATTTGTTCTCTCGCTCTCTGAAGAGCTCCACCTGTTTCCAGAGGACAGCAGCCAGAACAAGGTAAGCAAGCAGCCATCTTTATCATTCCAACATACCATTTTTCAAAAAACATATAGATATAAAGAAAGGAAAGCAAAGCAAACAGTTCTTACCACTTATTACAGCAAATGGCTCTTCCTATCTTCCAACTTTGTAAGTAAGAGACATAAATAACAAAGGAAATCAGGGCTCTACTGAACACAGTGGGCATTCATCTTGAAGGACCAGAAATTTACCTAATTTTTCTTGGGTAACATTGGAATAATTGGTATTTCCCCACCGTTAATTACGCCACATGAACTTGCAATTGCATGTAGGGAGACCATTTTGTTATGAAGTGTTTTACAATTAATAAGCAATAATTAGCATTTCCCATGTATCTTCCAGCCAAAGCTCTCCAAGAACTTGACAAAGTTCAAAAGACAACACACTGAACAGGCATGGAGACCTGAATCCTATTCATACTGCTACTGGTGTCAGAAAACGCAGCTCTGCTCTGTGATCTCCAGTTCCCACCTCCAGTGTCTCTTCCCTTGTCAGCTCAAGTGTCTGTTCAGCCACACTGCCAGCTTGTCTCTGGAGCGGATCATCTCTCTCTGCCTCTTTTCACCTCCATCATTTCCCCCAACCAGGTTCACTGTAGACAAAGTCTTGTGTCAACATGGGGATGAGGAGAGTGCAGGAAGCAGGACTGCTTCTTTCAGAAGCTGTATCAGCTTTTAGCTTGTGAAATTAGGGCTTACCTTAGTTTTTAGGCAGGAAAAACCTCTAGCTTAGAAAGGTTAACTAACTTTTTCAACTTATTCATGGAGCTTCAGACTAGAGAAAAACCCCATGTTGTATTTTTAATGTCCGTATTGTAACTCCTGATGTTATTTATCACTCAATGTCAAATCAAAATTTGGTAGCTCAGCTGACACTTAAAAGTGTCACAAATTAAAAGCCCTGCAAAAAAGCAACTCTCTCAAATGAACAGTATCTTCTCCTTATTTTGAACATCTCTTTTCACTATACACTGGCACTGCAATCAGAAAGCACAATCCCATTATGTGCAGCCATATTTATTTATTTTAACTAGTTCATGAAGACACCATTTAAGCTGCATAACACTACCAAAGATATGAAGTATTCACTCCATTGGCAGGGCAATCTGACACAGACTGACTGCAAGGTCACCAGAACTAGTTTAATTAGTTAGCTCTGGTACAATGAACAGGCCTCATGTCACACTTCTGATTGCAGCACAAGTATAACAATGACCAGGTCTCTACAAATATTACTGAAAGAAGGATTCCATAGCATTATTTCCAATTAAAGCAAGCCCCAATTAAGAATCGTTAATTTATTTCAGCAGAAGATCCAGCAAAACCTGTCTGTCTGGGAAAGCAAGCTGTAATGGAGTGAACAGTAACAACAGCTGTGATTCTAGCTCCCCATAAACCTTCTGGAAATGTACCCTCATCATTTCCAAATAGCCAGTTCTGTTTAATATCTTTATCAACAATCTGGATTAGGGTGTACCTTTAGTAAGTTTGCAGATGACACCAAGTTGGGCAGGAGTGTTGATGTGCTTGAGGGTAGGAAGGCTCTGCAGAGGGATCTGGACAGGCTGGGCTGATGGGCTGAGGCCAATGGTATGAGGTTCAACAAGGCCAAGTGCCGGGTCCTGCACTGGGGTCACAACAACCCCATGCAATGCTACAGGCTTGGGGAAGAGTGGTTGGAAGGCTGCCCGGCAGAAAAGGACCTGGGGGTACTGGTTGACAGCCATCTGAATATGAGCCAGCAATGTGCCCAGGTGGCCAAGAAGGCCACTGGCATCCTGGCTTGTATCAGGAATAGTGTGGCCAGCAGGAGCAGGGAAGTGATCGTGCCCCTGTACTGGGGACTGGTGAGGCTGCCCCTCAAATCCTGTGTTCAGTTTTGGGCCCCTCACTGCAAGAGGGACAGTGAGGCACTGGAGCGTGTTCAGAGAAGGGCAACAAAGCTGGTGAGGGGTCTGGAGCCCAAGGCGATGAGGAGTGGCTGAGGGAACTGGGATTGTTTAGCCTGGAGAAAAGGAGGCTGCGGGGAGACCTTATCGCCCTCTATAACTGCCTGAAAGGAGGGTGTAGGTCTCTTCTCCCAGGTAATGGGTGATAGGACAAGGGGAAATGGTCTCAAGTTGCTCCAAGGGAGGTTTAGGTTGGCCGTTATGAAAAATTTCTTCACTGAAAGGGTTATCAAGCATTGGAAGAGGCTGCCCAGGGAAGTGGTTGAGTCCCCATCCCTGGAGGTATGCAAAAGACATGTAGATGTGGTGCTTAGGGACATGGTTTAGTGGTGCGATGGCAGGGTTAGGTTAACAGCTGGACTTGATCTTAAAGGTCTTTTCCAACCTAAACAATTCTGTGATTCTATGAATTGATTATAGGAGACTTTTTTCTACTCCGCGATTTCTCATGTCTCAAAAATGTAATATGCACAATACAGTTCATCTCCTTAGAGAAGGAACAGAAGCAGCAGCCAGAACTACATTTATTACATGTTTACTGAAATGGAAGGTGAGCCCTTGTGATGAACACGCCCACCCTGACTGAGCAAACAGCACTTTGGTTCAGGCATTACCCACAAGAAGGCCTGACTGGAGTCAGCCCTGCTGTGCAGACCTTGAGGAATTGTGCTAGGCTGTATCTTCTCTGGAAGTATGGAATTTAGGCTATTTCTTATCAGGAGCTAACGGTGCCAGCCTGAGCTGGAACTAGACAAAACTAAAACTGCTACAGCTGCACACCCTCAAAGGGGAGTTTGACTGTGAATCAATCACTTTACACTATAAATATCTGCAGCCCCCCTGAGCTCTCCTGAACGGCAGCGGCTGCACAGCAGCAATCTCCCCTCGGGCAGGATGCCTCTCAAGGTTAGTCCTCGAGGCCGAGAGATCCCTTACCCGGCATCCGTTATCTACAGCGAGGTAAGCGACATTTTATATTAGATCTAAAGCATACTGTATACAAGCTAGCTTAAGTATTAGAAGTGCAGTAAGTAGTAGAGTGACTGCCATTTAGTTATTAATTGCTGTTTGATTCCTGTCTAATTACCATTTAATAATCATCATTTAATAATTATAATTTAATCATCATTCAATAATTGTTTAATCAGTGTTTCATAAAACCTTTTGGTTAACCCCACAACGATGACTTCTCTTAATGATTTGCCTGCGGCAGCCCTAAGTAAACAGTTAGCAATTACACAGTCATCATAGGCTCACCTATATTGAAAAGTCTAATTATTACAGTGGATAGGAAGTCTCACCTGAGTGCTTGGAACAGGATATGTTTGGTTAATTTCCACCAGAGACGTAAAGGTTTCTAGAAATAAATCACTAAGGCTTTGATGGATCACAACATTAGCTGCATTGCTGATGGGAGCACGGAGCTTTTCTCGGAGCTCCCCATACTCTGTGGAGTTCAACCTGAAGAAGAAAAGATGGGACAAAATGTTACCTTATCCATTCAAATACCTTGACAGTCAGTACACTGCAGAGGCTAATAACAGGGAAGTGAATCCACAGAAAAGTTATTTAGGTTGGTACATACTAGTCAGAATAAACACACAGTGAGCATTTTGTTTTCTTTTGCTGTTTAGTTGTTGGTTTTGACACAACTTAGATGACAGAACACGCTGTCCTCCATATCTGTGTCAGATTGCCAACAGGGTATGCCAGAGAGTAGCTAAAACATCGTACAAAAATAAAGGAAGGCTTTTGAAGTAATCAGCATGAATGAAAGTAATAGTTACATAAATTATGCATTAACTGCAAAGCACTGCATGCACAATTTCTGTCTGCCTTTTTAATGCCTATTTACTTATACCACATCTAAATTCTAGTTTATAAACTCCTGAGGACAGAAATTAGAGTTCTGTCGTGTGGCATGTACGGCATGGTGATATAGCACATGAGAAGAACGTCAATCAGTATCCGTTTCTGTGATTTTATGATACAATTTTAGATAAAACCTGAAATTTCACAAAGGTTACAAACAGCTGCTGCTGAATGTGACTTACACTTTAAGGCTGTAACAAGCTGCATTTTACACTAGGTTGCTTCTGCTAAAGTCAGCCAGAATCTCTAAGTGAGGCCCACAGACCTCAAGTGGCACACGAGACCTTGTGCAGATCCTGAAGTGACTCATTACGGTTGTTACCCTTTTTTAATGTAACAGTTCTGAAGTGAACTAGATTCAGAACTCCCCAGCTCAATGTTTCCACTCATTAAACAGCTTTCATGGAGAAGCCCTGGAACATCGCCTCAAAATTCCTGATTCTTCCTGCCACTTGCTGAGTTCCCGGAGCCCAGTACAATGCAACGCTGACTTAGCTTTAGCTCCCGGTGGTCTCCATTGTTTTAACTATTATAGGATAATGTCGTTTGTTAGCAGAGACTATCTGTGCAAACAACAGACGCCTTTGTATCCAGAGGAAAAATTCACCCTGAACACACAGGAAGTGTGGCCTGCCTACACAAAAGCATTTTTCTCCCAGAAACATCCCACTGTATCTAATTCTGGACACATACAATGATGTTGTATCCTTCATAGGGGCATTTTGTCCTATGGCACTTTTCTTAATCCCTGTATGACTGCATTCTAGCAGAGATTTGCTATTTCTGACACATCTTACTAGAAGAACTTTTAAACGCTTATCTCAGTGCTGTTCTCTTTAGTCACAAAATGAAATTTGGGGGGGGTTGGATTTTTTTGCCCTAAAAGGAATTGCCAAAGAAGCCGTGATTTTCTCAGCTGGGGATGCAGTTCTATCACTCTGGCACTGAAGCACTTACAGAAGAAAATCATTAGTTTTTTAATACTTATTTGGTCACCACTCTCACAGGTCTAGAAAAGTCTCCTCTTTTCTTAGGATTGGGATGCTTACCCTAGCTAACCTCTCGTTCTGAACTCTGTTCACCTGGATATCTAACACAATCACTTCTATGCCACCCTCATACTTGCCAGGACCCCTCTGCTCACCGACAAGTCTGGTGATCTGCCTACTTTTAATTACCTAGTGAATAAATGCTGCTGACATACAGCCTCACAGCAAACAAGACACCCAAATGCCTTTTCAAATACATAGCTGTAGGAGCACCAGCACGACTTTCTGTACTCCTTTTAATGACGCAGCAACAACAAAGACCTTAGCACCGTTCTACTCAGTGTTACGGGTTTCTTCAAAACTTGTATTTTAGCCTAGCTACATAGAGAGGCTGCTGAAAAAAATAGCATGGGCCCTTGGAAAACAAGCCTTAACAGTTCACAGCATGTTTGCTATGATTTACTGCTACGAGAACACGTGGACCAGAATTATAGAAATGGACCAAAATTACTTCCTTGCTGTAAGGGCAGTTAGCTTGCAGTAACTCAGCGAGAACTCTTCTGAGCAGTGACAAAATTATGAGCCTTGAGCAGAAGAAGAAAAAAAAAAAGTCATGGGTGAACAACAGCCAGTTTTAGGCAAATAACTATTTCTCTTCCCCCAAAATTTGGAAGACCGAAGATTCTCCCTTTCATTCCCATTCTCCATCTTTCACCTAAGTTTTTCTAGTTACTTCTTTCTGGATCCAGCACAACCTTCTCCCTAAGAATGGATCAAACAGAGCAGTCCCTCTGTCTAACCATTGTGCATTCGATACTGTAGGTGCACGAATCTTTCTAAACAACCTTTCTTCACTGCACTGCATGGCAGAACTATGCATACAGCATCTCTGAACACCAAGCAGGGAGCAAAAAGGAAGGGACGAGACCCAAGGAGTCTTCAGATCTGCCACAAAAGCACTTCATTAGCACTACCAAATGGCATACATATAACAGGGTAGTTGTTTTACCGGATATCAAACGCCTTCACGTAGGGATTAATACTGGCAACGCGGATGGTGAGGAACTGCACAGGCATATTTGAGTCTGGGGTGAGTTCGTGCTGTCTGGAGTCTGTCACCGTCAAATGAATGTCCTGCTGCTGGGCAACATGTAAACAGTAGGTGGTCACTTTAATCACCCATGTGTCCGTAACAATAACCCTCGCTCCTGGGCTTCCGGTAGCAAATTTGTCAATTCTCCTAAATTCTGTATTGATGGAAGAAGCTACTGCCCTCCAACCCGACTGCGGGAGAGCATGAACAGCGAGCGTTCGAGCTAACGGGTGGTTATTCCAACCTTTCCGTGACCAGTAATAGGCCAGGGCACTGGTGACTGCTGGAATGAGAAGAGCGACAAAGAAGAAAGTCTTCCATCCTTTTGAAGCCAGGTAGAAAAAACAAAGATGTTTTTCAGGCGCAGCGAAGCACATACCAAGGTAGTAACCTGCAAGGAAAAAAGACTTACTTTCAGAAAACAAGTACATGCATAAACACATACCCCAGACTCATACAGTTATCTAAGCAGCAAGCTCACCTCCAGGAGGGCTGTTGTACCTCTGGATGATAACTCAAATTCAAGCCTCTCGTCCTAAGCAGTCTGAGGTAAATTCTTACCCATCACTGATTTTTACCAGAATTGTGTAGCTGAATGAGGCCGATTTGAATTTGCAGGTCAAATGAAATTACTGTAAGATGACACTTACTTTTAGTGGAATGATACGGCTAAAGGAAGCCGACTGGAATTCGCTGGTTGAATGAAATGCTATTCCTTTGTAACTGCATCCACCCCGATGCAGCCAACCAGTTATAAAGTTTTGGGTGCATGCGACAAAGAAGCCAGAGAGGCACTGAAATACCGCGTTTCCAGGACGTACAGCATAACCAGGTTCACCCACACCAGTGGGCACCCGACTTGCGCCCACTGGTGAGGAGCCCCCTGCTCCCGCCCGGCGGCCGGGGGTGGTGGGGGGGTGGTGGTCA